TGACAAAGCAGATGAAGTTGCTTGGGTTAAGGATACAACCTTGAGGAACTTCTGCAGAGATGTCCTGGGACTGAGGTGACTGGCTCCTAAGAACCACAGTATTATTTTGTCATGCTCGGTATAATTCCAACCAGTATAGACCCTTCACTCTGATTCAATTTTGCTCCAGTTTTGCTAGAGCTCCTTGATATCAGCTCTTTTATCCATCTTTGAACCAAGGCAAGATTTTTTTGACGTCAAGAGGCAAGTCATCCTGCAGATCCAAACTGAGCATTAGTTAGCAAGTTATTCCATCACTTTGCTGATAATTGATAGCAGACTGATCGGGCGGTAGTTGGCTGGGTTAGATTTGTTCTGCTTTCTGTGTACAGGACAAACTTGGGCAATTTTCCACGTTGTTGGATAGATGCCAGTCTTGTAACTATAGCGCAACAGCTTCACTAGATTGTGTCTAGTTGTGGAGCTCAAGTCTTCAATATTGTTACTGGATTGTTGTCAGAACCCATAACCTTTGCAATACTCAGCATCTTAAGTTGTTTTTTGATATCATGTGGAGTGAATCGAATTGGCTGAAGACTGGCATCTGTGATGCCGGACAACTTAGGCGTGGGCTGAGGTGGATCATCGACTGAGCACTTCTGGCTGAAGATTGTTGCAAATACTTCAGCCTTATCAATAACACTGATGAACTCAGCTCCCCTGTCTTTGAGGACTGGTATATTTTTGGAGTGTCACCTCTAGTTAGTTGTTTAATGGTAGCCATGATGTGGAGATGCCAATGTTGGACTGAGCTGGACAAAGTCACCTGATGAAGGAGCAGCACTCCAAAAGCTTGTGATTTTAAATAAACCTACTGGACTATAACCTGGGGTTGTGTGACTTCTGATTTTATTGTTTAATTGTTCAACACCATTCATGGCTGGATGTGACAGAACTGCAGTGTTTAAAACTGATCTGTTGGTTGTAGGAACACTTAACTCTGCATTTTGCATTCTGCCTTTACTGTTTGATATGGACATAGTCCTGTATTGGAGCTTCACCAGGTTGACATTCTCACTTTTAGAAATGCCTGGTGCTGCCTCTGGCATGCCGTCTTGTGCTCTTTATTGAATCAGAGTAAATCTCCAGGGCTAACCGCAATGGTAAAGTAGGGGATTTGTCACACCATAGATTGCAGTTGAATACAATTCTGGTGCTGCTGATTCACCATGTACTGTTTACTCAATTCTGAGTTGTTAGATCTATTCTAAGTCAAACCCATTTATTATGGCAGTAGGGCCACACAACATTATCATAGAGACCCTACAGTTCAGATAGAGGCCATTCAAACAATCGAGTCTGCACCAACCCTCCAAACAACAGCCCACTCTAACCCAATGAGTTCATATTTACTACAGTTAACCCACCTAGCCTGCACACTATAGGGCAGTTTATCATTGCCAATCCACTTTACCTGTACATTTTTGGTCTGTGGGGGTAATCTGGAGTACCCAGCAGAAACCCATGCAGACATGGGGAGATTGTACAAACTCTACACAGTCTGTTGCCCAAGGCTCGAATTGAACCCAGGTCCCTGACGCTGTGAGGCAGCAGTGCTAACCCCTGAGCCTCTGTGCCGCCCCAATAACCTCAATGCAAAGAAGGGTTGAATTGCCTTCTTCAGTATTGTATACTTTTATTATTCCAGTGATGTTATATAGGGTGACTATACTTGGTATTGTTAATCAAATGTATGTTACAATTACCGAGAAAGACAGCGATCTGCAATTATGGATAGCATTATATAGAAACATAGAAAACAGGAGCAGGAGTAGGCCATTCAGCCCTTCATATCTGCATCAACATTCAATATGATCATGGCTGATCATCCAACTCAGTACTCTATTCCTGGTTTCACCTCATATCCTTTGATACCTTCAGTCGTAAGAACTATATCTGACTCCTTGAAAATATTAAATGTTTTGGCCTTAACTTCTTTTTGTCGCTTATCACCCTCTTGAGTTAATTTCTCCTCATCTCAGTCCTAAATGGCCTACCCTGTATCCTTAGATTCTGACCCCTGGTTCTGGATCCCTGGCCATCAGGAACATCCTTCCCGAGTTTACTCTGTCTAGGTCTGTCAGAACTTTATACATTTCTGTAAGATCCTCCTTCACTTTTCTAAATGCCAGTGAATATAGTCCTAACTGATTCCAGTCTCTCTTTGTCAGTACTGCCATCCCATTTTGTTGTGATCTCTGCAATGACCATTAACACTTAGTGATAACTTTGAACATCCAGTTATTTACTGAAAGAATAACGTGTCAAAATTCCATCATTTAAAAAAACTGATTTTATCCTGTCAGAATTAAGTAAATCAAACGACTAAATAACCATTGTTTTAGGTAATGCATATTACTTACAAATTCTGGGAGTTTTCAGATTGAGCCTAAGATTCATGTGCATTGCATAGTGACAAACAAAATTTAAAAATATTTCTGGCTTCTAATTGCTCTAATCTCCTGGTCCATAGCTGTTTTTGACAAATTTTGACTTTCAACCTGATTCCAAGCTAAACAGTTTGTTTTCACTATGCATGTTCCTATATAATTCTTCCTCTAGCTCCAAGCTAGCTAAGTCCTCCAATGTCTTTTCCATCATAAACTCCATTTCCAAACTGAGCATGAACACACACTCGCATTCCATTTGATGAACAATAAAGCTAATATTTTCTCTGCTGAAGATGTAGGCCTGGCCATATTCATTTTCTTTATTCCTTCAATTCAGTGAGGCGTAACTAAACTACAAAAGACCAAAGCTGCAACCTGTTTTTGATGCTAAACACTGACTGATAAATTAAAAGAAGCTATGTCACACCCACAGTTTATTTCCATAGCAACTTGGCATACCTGAAATGCTTCAAACTGAAATGTAAACTTATTACCTTTCATCTTAAAAACCAAACCTTTTGATTCTGGTTCCCACCTGCAAAAATTATTTCAATAATGGACTTTATGATGTCCTCTTCAGATTCCCTGGTCCCATGAAGAAACTTCCTTGCTTTCATCTTCTTTAATCTAGAAATTATTTAAATATCCAGATCTCTTACAAACTGTTATGAGCAACAATTTATAAAACAGCTTTAGTGTTGGCAAATGGCAAGGACCATTGTCAAACAAAATTGTACACTCGACCACACAAGAAGAAATGAAAACAGGAAATCCCAGAAATAGAGATAACAAGGTGTAGAGCTGGATGAACACAGCAGGCCAAGCAGCATCAGAGGAGCAGGAAGGCTGACATTTCGGGCCGAGACCCTTCTTCAGAAATGGGGTAGGGGAAGGGGGTTCTAAAATAAATAGGGAGAGCGGGGGAGGCGGATAGAAGATGGATAGAGGAGAAGATAGGTGGAGAGGAAACAGACAGGTCAAAGAGGCGGGGATGGAGCCAGTAAAGGTGAGTGTAGGTGGGGAGGTAGGGAGGAGATAGGTCAGTCCAGGGAGGACGGACAGGTCAAGGGGGCGGGATGAGGTTAGTAGGTAGGAGATGGGGGTGGGGCTTGAGGTGGGAGGAAGGACAGGTTAGGGAGGCGGGGACAAGCTGGGCTGGTTTTGGGACGCGGTAGGGGGAGGGGAGATTTTGAAGCTTGTGAAGTCCACATTGATACCATTGGGCTGCAGGGTTCCCAAGCGGAATATGAGTTGCTGTTCCTGCAACCTTCGGGTGGCATCGTTGTGGCACTGCAGGAGGCCCAGGATGGACATGTCATCTGTGGAATGGGAGGAGGAGTTGAAATGGTTCGCGACTGGGAGGTGCAGTTGTTTAGTGCGAACCGAGCGTAGGTGTTCTGCAAAGTGGTCCCCGAGCCTCAGCTTGGTTTTCCCGACATAGAGAAAGCCACAATGGGAACAGCGGATGCAGTATACCACATTAGCAGACATGCAGGTGAACATCTGCTTGATGTGGAAAGTCTTCTTGGGGCCTGGGATGGGGGTGAGGTGTAGGGGCAGGTGTAGCACTTGCTGCGGTTGCAGGGAAAAGTGCCACGTGAGGCGGGGCTGGAGGGGAGTGTGGAGCGGACAAGGGAGTCACGGAGATAGTGGTCCCTCCGGAAGGCAGATAAGGGTGGGGAGGGAAAGATGTCTTTGGTGGTGGGGTCGGATTGCAAATGGCGGAAGTGTCGGAGGATGATGCGTTGGATTCAGAGGTGGTGGGGTGGTACGTGAGGACGAGGGGGATTCTGTTTTGGTTGTTATTGCAGGGAGGGGATGTGAGGGATGAGTTGCGGGAAATGCGGGAGACATGGGAGACATGGTCGAGGGCGTTCTCAACCATTGAGCTGGGGGAAGTTGCGGTCCTTGAAATACTCAGAAATACCAGAAATACTCATCATGTCAGGCAGCATCTATGAAATGAGAAGCAAAACTGATACGTTCGAAGAGGTTATTGGGAGAGATGAGCAAATATTTAGTTAAGGAACACTCTTTGGGAGAAAAGAGAGTGAGAGCGATGTTCTTTCTCAGTTGTATTAATCAGGAATGTATCAAACAAAGAACAGCTAGAGCCTACGAGAACAAAGATTTTCGCACAGGTGGATTTCAATTGTAAAGGGATCTCACAGCACAACAAAGCTGCGTACAGACAACGGAGGTTCTGAGGAAGGGTCACCGGACCCGAAAAGTTAACTCAGATTTTTTTCTTCACAGATGCTGCCAGACTTGCTGAGCTTTTCCAGCAACTTCTGTTTTTATTGCAGAAATTATAAGGAACAAGGTTATTCAAATAAGTTTGTGAATAGAATACCTTAGCTCAGAGCCGGGAAATTTAAAAGGCACGCTACCAAATCATAGCAATCAACATGGCCCATTTAGAGATTAGAGCCTAATATTATGCTCAGAGCATTAATAATGTCCGCTTCTACAGATGCCAGTTGCTCCAAGTGAGATGTGTGTGGGGCTGGGATGGTGCCACTGCCTTGTTTGTGTGGGATAGAAGTTGGGGCCAGTGTCTGTCCGGAGGGAAAAGCTTGCAGACAGACTACTAATACCTGTAAATGAACTTTGTGGTCACAGTGCACCTCCATGTTGAAGCACACAAAGATAATTGTCCCAAGTACGTGTCAGTGTGGGTGACCCGGATGTTGGTGGGTGTGTGTGACTCGGATGTTGTTTCCTCTCCTGCTTCCGGGAGCAGTCTCAATGACCGCCAGGGACCGGTCGGTGACTTAAACGGCGGAAAAGCTCAAGAGAAGCGGCAGGTAAGAGCGGGGCAGAGACGTCGACGTTGACGGGTGGCCCGGTTCCTCGCTTACCGGGTGTCGGGCCGTCAGCATTGACGGGGGTGGGAAAGGGGAAGTAGAGGTTGACAGAATGAGCCGACCCCCGGGGGTCCCGGAGGGGGGCGTCCCCCGGTCCCGGTCCAGGGCCTCAGGTCCCTGGACCTGGACCTGGACCGAGCTGTCATGGAGCTGCCGCCGCTGTCCCCGCTCCTCGGGCCCCTGCTTACGTGTCCAGGCAGCAGGGAGCAGGAACTGTTGGCTCTCGGCCTGAGCACTGCCTCCGTGGAAGATAGCGTCCGCATGGAAGGAGTTTCATGAGAACCGCGTTAATTGTCTTATGACTCCTTTGGCCAACGTTTAAGTTCGGTGTTGTTAGTTCCTGTGGTGCACTTCGGAACTTTCCCAAGTTTTATGTAAATGTAACTTAGCCTTTTCTTGTTGTGCTCAGAACCTGTGGCATTTACATTGCAGATCTTTCTGAGAACTCGTGGCTGAGGCCCATAGGGAGGGATAGAACTGTTCGGTTTTCAAAAGTGAACGTTCAATCAAACTTTTTTTTATTTAGGGAAAAGCCAAGTTCACTACTTGGTTAGTTGGCTTTTAAATTCAGGAGTCAGGGTTTATCTAGATGCAACATATATAAAAAAAGGAAAATGTATGTTTAAAAAGAAGCTTAACAGAGCATTTGCTCCTTGGAGGATGATACTGGTAAATTAATGTAACACAAGCAAGTGACAGAAGCGTTGATAGAGAAGCCTTCAAAAAATAAGACACTTAAAAAGTCTCAAATAGTAGAAATGCAGGTTGCAGTAGGAAAAGAGGAACTTCAAACAATCGTGATCATAAAAGGAAACCTAATAAGAAAACCTATGTGACTAACTGCTGGTAAGTGCCCTTGACCTGAATAAAATAAGCAATTGCGAAGAAAGTGGGTGCATTGGTTGTAATCTTCTAAAATTGTCCAGATTCTAGACTAGCCAAAGTAGATTGGAAAACTGCAAAGTTAACGCCTTGTCAAGAATGAAGGAAGATAGAAAACACAACATTGTAGACCAGTTAACTCAACATCTGTCATTGGGAAAATGCTAAAGTTGATCAAGCAGGTATTAGCTGAACATGGAAATAAATCATTATACAATCAAGCACAGTCAGCATGGTTTTGTGAAAAGGAAACTATGTATGACAAATATTTATTAGAATTTTTTGAGGGAGTTAAGAGCAGGTTGGATATAGGAGATGTTGGTGTATTTGGGTTTCCAAAAGGCATTTGATAAAGTGCCATATAAAAGATTACTTCACAAGAGGTTCGTAGTGTTAGAGTGATCTATGATTAGAGGACTAACAGGAAATGAAGAGTGAGGATAAATGGGTAATGTTCAAGTTGGCAAACTGTAACCAATGGTGTGCCATTGGCATCAGTACTGGGGTCTCAACTATTGCTTGAAGGAAAAATTTTATTATGGCCAGATTTTCTGCTGATGTGGAGATGGGTACAGAAGCAAAATGTGAGGAGGTTACAAACTGTATGTAAAAGGATATAGATAGGAAAATAAATGGGCAAAAATTTGGTAGATGCAGTATAATGTATAGAAACGTAAGGTTGTCCACTTTGGCAGAAAGAATAAAAAAGCAAAATATTATCTGAAACAGAAAGATTTAACAGAATGCTGCAGTACAAAATGATCTGGGTTTTCTTGTATAATACGTAAAACACAAAGCCATCATGCAGATATTGAAGGAAGTTATGAAGGAAAATGAAATGTTGGTTTTTATTGCAAAATACGTGGACTATTCAAGTAGTGAAGTCTTGCTACACATGAAGAACACATTGTGCACAGATTTGATCATCTAAATTTTAATAAGGTATATAATTGTGTTGGAAGCAGGTCAGAGGAAGGTTAATTAGACTGATTTCTGAGACAAAAGTAATGTCTTTTAAATAAAAGTTGAGTAGGTTGGGCCTGTAGTAATCACAGTTCAGAGAAATGAGAAACTTAGAAACAAAGTTCTGAGGGTGCTTGACAGAGTAGATCCTAAGAGGGTGCCCCCTCAGGAGAGATGAGGAACCTAGAATTGGGGGCACAGTTAAAAGTTCAGACCTTACTATTTAAGACAGATGAGAAATTTCTTAAGAGTTGTTGATTTTTGGAGTTCTCTTCCACACAGACAAGTGGGGACTAGTTTGTTGTTAGCCTAGTCTTGCAAATATTTGGAGGTTTAATCTCCAAGGAGTTGAAAGTTTTGTGGAGCAGGCAGGAAAGTGGAGTTGAGGCCACAGTCAGATCGACCTTTGACTGATTGAATGGTGAAGCATTTTTGATGGGCTGCATGGTCTGCACATTGTCCCAATATTGTAGAATTGGCTTGTGCTTTCAGTATCCCCATACATTTCTATTTATCAAGAATGCGCGACTATCTCCTGGAATTCTACAGCGAGAGAATTGATCAGAAATCTGATACTGCATCAGCCAAGTTACTGAAGTTAGGATATGAAAATTACCCTATTTCCTGTTTACAATATGATGCTAGTTAGGCTTTTCATAATTCATTTTCTGAATGTTGTTTGTTCCATTGAGAAATACAGCATTCATCTTGCTCACGGAACAGTGCAAAAATGCTTTGAACCTAGTAGATCTTTCACTGTTTTTCAAATGAAAGAAAAAACATTGTATTAACTTAAGGAAATGTGTCTCTTGCAAAGCCAGCAATTATTGCCCGTCTATAATTGCTGATGAGAAACTGCAGTCGGTGTTCGTTTAAGTTTTTTGTGAAAATTTTTTTCATTCAGTGGAGGGGCTTTTCAGGCCTTTCAAGAGGGAGTGAAGATTAAGCCATGTAATTTATGATAATTAATCAGTTCAAAATAATAGCAACTGTGGGATATTTTGATAGATGATCAAGACTCCTTGCAGTGCTCTACACTTTGGAGGTCACCATCTAGAACACTTATTAGCTCCTGATCGAATGGGTGGAGGTGTAAAACTTCTTGAAAAGAGTGATTTGTCCTATTGTGGAATAAAACTGGTGTAATGTCAATACAAGTTTAACGGATGATTCATTAGTCAGTTCAAGTGGCTAGATATGGTATAAACTCACCTTAAGCTGCTTTCAAGGCACACATTTTAGCAAGTAACTGACTATGTACTGTAATGACTGATTCTGATCAATTATTACACTATACTTAAGAACGTAAGAATCAGAAGAGTTGAGATTTTGGCTGATCTGTTGGATTTAAGGGTACCAGCACTTTTCTCCTATGCTTTGGGACCAATGGCTTTGTCAGTTTCAGATCTACTGTCAAGTAATTTTGCACATGTATTTAAATTAGCATTGTCTTTGCTGACAGACTTGTTTTCTTTTAACCATAATTGATTTTTGGACACATCCTAGCAACAGTATCTAGGATCTACACACAGTTGAGTAGTTCTATGATGGAAATCTCAGCTTAACCTTCTTGTAACTTTAAGATTAAAAATCTGTAAACAAGTGAGCATTTTATTAACTTAATTTCTGATGGGGCCTTCTGTAAGCTCAAACTGCCTAGAATTAAGTGGTAAGTTATAATAATGGAAGTGATCTAGTGTTGATGTAGCAATTGTGCCATAATTGCCATAGGTCACTGTCTTTATGTCCTTATTATCCATGAGGTTTTATCGATGGTATATTTAGCATATTTGCGTTGTGGTTTTGAACTCAAACCTGGACAGTACAAAGAAATCCATTGTTTATTGATCACAAACTGGTTCAAACTCTGTCCATGTGAATTTAATCTTGACCGAACATTTCAATGCTCAGAGTTGACTTTGATTGTTTCACATGATCCCTTCCCTACTGTCAGTTCATGATCACTAAATATCTTGTTTAATCTCTGTTATGCCTATTTTGGCTTAATATTCTTTGCATCTGGATGCAGTTTGATTGCTGCACTGGACCTGAGCTTGTCACTAGTTTGATATTGCTTGATTCTTTTCAGCCCTTTCTAATAGTAATTCCCCGCTACCAGCATTAACTTTCTCCCCAGTTGTTATCTTGAAGCCTGTTCTTGGTTATTTCACGCTTTCTCCATTTTTGCCTTTAGTAATCTTCTTTTCTTCTGGCAATGTTCCACGTTTGAATTTCCGCTTTCCAAAGCCGATAGCAACACTTTGTCCCTGAGCATTTTCAAACAGGCTCATTATTTTCTGTTAATTGATCTTACATTCTACTTTGTGAGCAACAGAACAAAGGAGCTTTGTGATTCTTTTAAAAGCTGGAAGTGATTCTCAGTTTTCAAACTCAAGCATCCTTGCAAAACTATTTTCTTGTTCCTCGTCTGATCATACGAAGAAGGTATTTGATTAAAATGAATTCATATATACAACTGGTGTTAGATTACTGTTTATTTGCACGACAAAAATGTGGGAGAAAACTGAAATGCTGGAAGCGCTTAGTGGACCAGATAGCCAATATTTTGAGAAAGCAGGTGAATTAGTCTTCAGGTAAAATCCAATATCAAAATAGGAAAATATTGCGTTAATGGCATTGAAAAAGTAAAGGACAATTGGTGATTTGGATGGGTCAAATATGCATGACAGAAGAAATAGACGAATTTGTAAAGTGAAACAAAGAGTTAATGAAATGACAACTCTATTTTTTAACATAAAATAGACATTATAGAACATGAGGTATAAGAGCAGAATTAGGCTATTTGGCCCTTTGAGTCTGATAAGTTTCTCAACCCCATTCTCCTGCTATCTCGCAGTAACCCTTGATCCCCTTACTAACCAAGAACCTGTCTGTGTCTTAAATACACTCAATGACTCGGCCTCCGCAACTGTCTGCAACAATGTGTTCCTCGGATTCACAATCCTCTGGCTGAAGAAGTTCCTTTGCATCTCAGTTCCCAATGGTCGTCCCTTCGTTCTTGACTGTGCCCTCGGGTCCTTGTCTCTTGTACTAGTGGAAACATCATTTCTACTTGCGCTCTATCCAGGCCTCTC